AAATGCCAAAAAAGTGTCTAATGGCAAATAACACTGACACACAGATCATTTTGACAAAACAGCTTTGGTGGCAAGTAACAGTGAATGCAATTCACATGCACAGCTATAATTAAAAGCAGAAGTGGTAAAAGGATTTCTATAACAATATTTGGAGGCAGTGCTGTGATAAATATAGTAAACAAAAAAAGGTTTTGAAACCGAATCTCACATTTATTATTACTAAGAAAGGTTAAAATTTAATTGCTATTTTAGCTAAATAAAACAATATCCTAAATTTAAGCAGGGTGTCCAACCTTTTGGAGTCTCTGGGTCACACTAGAAGAAGAGATGTCTTGGGCCACATACTAAATATATTACAGCACATAATCACAAAAAAATGTTCTAAGTAAATTTATGATTTTGTGTTGGGCCATATTCTTCCCATGAGTTGGACATCCCTGTTCATTCATTGATTTGACTATTTACTAATGTTCCTCTCCTGCTCTGTATAGGTCTAGAAGCCAAGAATCAGCTATGAACAGAAACAATGACACTCTCCCCTACCTTACATTCCAGTGGGGGAAGACCACTGACCTCCTTCCCACTAAATCAAAATGCTGGATACCATTTCTTACTAAATCTTATCTTAAAAAACATCACTGATCTGACAGGAGCCTGGAGAGGGAAGAATACCAAAGCTGGCTTTTTCCTTCAGGGTTCTATCACCCCTTAGAGTTCTTAAACTTTCTCTGATAATAAAAGGAAAGTTTTATTTATGCTGCAGTTAAATTAATGACTAATAATCTCCTTCAGTTAGCTTTTTAAAAACACATCATTTAAGAAAATCTTCCCTACCCCAAGGTCTTAGATATTTTTTAGAATATGTTTTTCTTCTAAAGGTTTTAAAAATTTCCTTTTCATGTTTAAGTATTTTATCCATCTGGAACTGACTGTGGGCATGGTGTCAGGTAGGGATTCTATTTCATTTTTTTTCTCTATATGACTAAATACTTGCCTCACACGTATTTGTTAAACAGTAAATCCTTTCCTTGCTAGATTTGTAATGTCACCTCTTTCATAACATCATGATTCCATTCCTGTGCGGATTCATTTATGTATTTTATATTCTATTTTATTACTCTATTTGTCTATCCCTGTGATTAAAACTTTCTTTAAATGAACCTCCTAACACTTATCACATTATTTTTGCTATCATGAAATGTCTTGTTTTCTTGGTAAGCTATTAAATCAACTGTGGCTATGATTTATTCCTATTTTTGTTTCTTATAGCATGAAAATCAGTATTTCTAGTTTGTAAGCTTATTTGCAAAATAAGAGATTATGTCAGCAGCTATATTGATTCTTAGTTATAGAGTCATAAATATTCCTCAAAATTATTACCTCAACAGAACAAAACTGATGAAGGTATCAACTGATGGTCTGGATCTAGAACCTACACACCAGGAAAGGACTGCCCCTGCTCATCCTAGGGTTAACAGTTCCAAGAGACAGCAAACGATTCCACAGGAAGTGTTTCTTTCATACGCATACTACCCAATCCAAAGTTCATACTTCTGAACTTCCTCCTTTATCTGGCTCTTCCATGTCAAGCCAATAAATCTCCCTGCCACAGTCACCCCAAGGCTTGGTACTAAGCAACTAGGGACAGAATCTATGCTCCACGGTCAGTTGAAATTGTTCAAACTAGCCAATCCTACCTCTGTTTACCCTGGCTTGCCTTGCCTTTGACAATTAAGGCTGTTGCACAGTTTTCCCCCTCTTTCCCACTGTCTCCTGACCAACTCTGGTGCTTTCCTGTGTGGCTTACCTGCACAGCAAGCCAGGTCTCCTGTTTCTAGGGACTTGCTGAGTATAAACTTCTTCCTTTATGATAATCATTTCCATGTCTGCATGTCTTACCATACCAGATTAAAACAAATCCCCAGTACATTTTGACAGAAGGCACAATAAATTTAGCTGTTATTTTCAGTAAATATGGGATGTTTTAAACGAGAAAGCAAATATAAAACTAAGCTGTTATTTTGCCAGTGATGAAGGAACTGAAGATTTTAGACATTTATTTTTCTAAGCATTTGATAACTGGTAGGATTATTCAATGGGAAACAGACACACTCAAATTGTTTGATCACTCTCTTGGCAAGTCCTAAAGGTCAGGCTAACATGAGTTTTATTTTGTACATTTATAAAGAAATCCTCTAAAGAACAGAAAGTTAAATTCAGAACTGTGATAATCCATAAACCTTATCATATTACAGTTTGTCCTTTTCACAGATGACAAGATGAACTATTGAACTGAGTGTACTGATTCTCTACATTAGTATTTCAAAGAAAAACTAAGTAGCTGGAGGAGTTAATCATGACAGAGAGAGTACATCATATACAATTACCTCACATAATTTTATTAAATTGAGCTATCCGATGTATATGCTGAAATGGGATCAAAACTAATCTTTCCCAAGGACAAAGGAAGTAATCACCCAATTTTCTCTCTTTTCAATAAAAATAATTAAAACTAGTTCCTGTTTAAGTAAATTCACCTTATTTAAGATTCAGTATTGCCTTCAACAGTGCTATCATGAGTTCCCCTTGAGTAGTCTGCACATTAAACCCAGAAAAGCCATTTATTCCATGAATGTATTAATGATTCACAAAATTTGTACAGCTGTCATTTTAACAGCAGTGCATTGAAAGAGAATAAACAGCACTCTATGTGGAGTCAAAACACTTTAAAATGCAGTTCTAATTCTGGCACTTACCCTAATGCTTAAAATCATTTTTAGCACTTTAATAACAATTTTTACTCAACATGTGCTTTACAGTTTGTTGTTTTTATAAAAATCTCTATATGTAAACATGAGTATGGCAGACCAGGAAACACTTGGCTATGGTCAGCATTTTCCATACTGAGTTTCTCAAAAAAACTTGTCTCTCCTGACACCCTCTCGCAAGACAAAATTTCTCTGGGACTCAGTTTTGCCATCTCTAAAACAGAGTATGTAAGACTTGGTCTACTTACCATACAGAATCAAGTTCTTTGTAAAGGGTTAGATCCTATATAAATTAATAGCATTGTTATTCAAAATCATTATACATAACTACATATAAATAATTTTAAATCATTTAAAAAACAAACACAAATTTGAGAAGTACAAATTGCTATCCAATAATTTAAAAACTAGGCATGTATTTTGCCAACCATTTTCTCACTGCCCCTGTAAGCCTTCTACTAGTGGATTGGAATATATAGACCAAATATGTTCACTATCTTTTAAGGACAGCACTACAGCATTATAAGGCAGTATGGTATTCTCTTACAGCTAACTGGTCTGTTTTTCTTTGTTGATTATTCTATTCTTAAAATACACAATAAATATTCATTAAGATCATACCTCTTGGTCTTATCTTACAGATAAAAGATTTTATACTACATCTTACTTTTCCTATGTAAATTTCTGAAGTTTTAATGTTACTCCACCGAGAATTTCCAAAACATCAGAGACTTTGGTTACATTTTATGTTAAGATTAATAGAAACTAAAGTTTGCTTGGTTAAAAAAAACTAAGGTAAAACTTTGGACTTTATATTAAAATAATTTTTAGCCATTTTAATAACAATTTTTACTCAACACGTGTTTACAAATAACAGTTGTTTTTATAAAAGATTTCTGTATGTAAACATTAGTGTGGAAGACCAGGAAAGACTTGGCTATGGTTAGCACTTTGCATACTGAGTTCCTCAGGACACTTGTCTCTCCTGACACATAAAACAAAGCAAATCAAATACCCACCTCCTCTTTGAGGTCCCCATTCTCATCCACCCTGTCACAAAGGCGAGGGAGCTGAGACTTTCAAGGTTTGCATACCCAGAGTCACACATTATGCATATGTGTACGTATGTATGGATGTATGTGTGCATGTGAATAGCTAAAACTGCAGAGCACTTCCATATACAATATTTTGTACACTAGAATTGTAAGCTCACTCTTTCATTCTGCCACCAACCCTATAGTAGGGACTATTATTATACCTATTGTACAGAAAAGAAGTGGAAGGACAGAAAGATTAAATAACTTGCTCAAAGTCATCCAGCAATTCCTTGGCAGAGCCTGGATGCAAGCCCAGAAAGTTTGGCTCTGTAGTCCACATATGAATCTTAGAAATACTACACTTGGGGTAAATGTGCAAAAAACAAACAAACAAAAACCCTAGAGTATAACGTCATTTTTTAAAAGTTAAAAAATATATTTGTTTGAGGACAGATATATGTGGTAGGTCTATAAAGAAATCAAGGGATTATAAAAATATTTGAGATAGGGTCACAGAATAATGGGAGAAGGAAAGGGACTTGAGAAGGCCCCCTAGGAAATCTTACTAGTTTGGATGTTGTATTTTTTTAATTTTTATTTATTGACTTGAGAGAGAGTGAGAGACATTGTTTTTTATTCCACTTATTTATGCATTCATTGGTTGGTTCTTGTATGTGCCCTGACTAGAGACCAAACCCGCAAACGTGGTGTATTGGGGTGACACTTTAAACAACTAAGATACCCCGCCAGGGCTGTTATTCTATTTCTAAGGTTGTGTACTAAGCTCACTGGTGCTCACTTTTTATAGTAAAACTTCAAAAACATATTCATCAATAAGCTATTCAAAGTCTTAAACTTATCCTAGATTTAGGGCCCTTATAAAGTGAATAAAATCACTCTTCTGTTTCCAGAATTAGGGATGCCAAAGGTTTGACATGAGTATCATCGCTTCCTCCTTTGATGGATAGTGGCTGTAGGCTTCTTTCCATATCTGGCCACTAATTTAGAACCCTCTCCACATGTCTCAGAATTCATGACTGATTACAAACAGATGGTTGGTGTGGCCACAAGCAACTTGGTTGGAGGTGGCACCCTTATCATCAGTTTGTTAAAGGACCCCTAAATTTCTTACAACTAGGAAACTGTGGGATCTCCCAACCATTAGCACTGTTGCCTCCTTTTCAAAGACAGTTACCTGTTAAGTTTGAAGCATCTGTGGGACTCAGTTGTAACCAACGGCGGGCATCAGAGTCAGCCACATCATCTGTGGGAGAGTTCAGTTCTGTATCTTCCTCACAGGTCTGCCATGAACTCATGGACAACTCTGCCTCATTGTTACAGTCTAGAGCTGTGTCACTGCTGACACTTGCACCTGGCACAATGGAAGAAAGAAAGTGTGAGAAAACTAATAGCTGGAAATAAGAACATTCACAATTACCTACACACAAGTAACTAAACACCTGACATAGCAGGAGTCATAAAAGGCAGAGGGACTCAAAATGTGCCCGTGTGGGACTCTTGCTCAATGAAACAAAGTGTCTAAGTGCAGGGCATTAATAATTATAGCTCCAGTACATATCACACAAGTAGCAGTGTTTTCAGGTGATTCAACTCAGTTTATACCACAGACCCAAAGGATTACATCAATTGCGTAAGTTTATCTCAATCTCAAAGTTTATCTACTGAATATCTCAAATTTTTGTGTGCAACTATAAAATGAGGGTATGTGGAAGAAAAGGGGGGAAACTGGTCCACAACAAATGCAAGTTTATTCTGCTGGCTGGAAGAGTCTAATAATGTTTTACATCTTGAGCCTGATATCTAGACCTCAACTCGGGCTGAATCACCCAGAATCACTAGGGGATGAGATATTCTACTGCAAAACATTTTCTCCAATAGAAATTCTCTCCTTTATATACTAAAAAGTTGTAATTTATCAAAATACAGTGATGCTTTCAAAAGCTATTAAGCCCTAGAGGGCTATTTTGTCTAACACAAAACAGACCCAGACAGTTTACTTTTTCAGGTCTCCTGTCTACTTCATAACAATTTTATATGTCTACCCATTCTGTCTGTTCACTCTTTCAGCTGCTTTTTATATCTGCTGCTGACAGTCCCCAGTCTTGCTGCTTCTAATCTGCTGTCCTCTTTTCATTTGCAAAGAAGTGAAAGTTGTCCCAGTCACTAACTTGTTAGGTCCCTTACTTCACTGCCACAGAACTCTAAGCCAACAGGGACTGAAGAAGAAGCCTAAAGAAGCTCCTCCATGTTCCAACAAGTACACCCTGGACCTGAGTTTTGTACTATGCTGCACTGAGAAGAAGGTGGCCTAGCACCTGCTCTTGGGAAAGCAGAGTATTATCACATTTTACAGCACGTGATAATATGTGTAAAGATTCCAATCAATTTTTATTTTTTAAATACTTATACTATTGACTTCAATGTACTTCTGAAGCATTTTGCTCCTAGCAGGTGGGAATTCTCTAGGGAAGATCATTTTTCCTTCTTGGTTTGTCTGCTCACCTAGCTATTAGCATTGGTTGTGCCTCTCACCTGGGGAAAGGCCCAGGGATGGAAAGACAAGCCTCTAAGGTATAGGTAACTGACTGAAACTGTTTTTATTGTATGTGTGAACTAAATGTCCAGCATTCCTGAGATTCCAGGAATAAAGATGTCCTGTTTCACAACCACAGTTCTTCAGTTAGCATTCAAGTTAGAAAGTAAAAAGAAAATGAAAAACAACAACTCTGAATCTGGAGGAACACAGACCACATTTCCTAGAACTTACTCTTCTGTCTCTCCCTACATTTTCCTTGTGTCTGCTGCAAATCATCTTTTAAATCCAATTCAGCAGAGCTGCTGCTTCTTCGAACTAAGATCTTCAGGAAAGAAAAAATTTATTTGTTACAGGAAAGTTTTAATTTTTACAAGACTGTTAAGTTTTTAGTCTACATTTCTAAAGAAAAAGAAATAAACAATAATAATAGCAACAAAAAACCTGAATGCTGTTTTCTATTGGAAGGATGTGTTCACAAATTATTATAATTGAATTATAAATTACTCAAGATCTGAAATTTATGGCTTCTATTTTGTCAACTGCTATCCAATTAAACTGATTTACTGAAAAGAAATACAAAATTATATGAAAATAACTTATTTCAAAGTTCTATTTGTTCCTCTTCTCAAACACACATATACAATGAATGCAATTCTCCAGAAGGCCTAAGTTACCCGCAGATGGTGAGTGTGCTGGCAGGGAAGGCATAAACTCCACTGAGACTTTTCTAAAGGTTACTCAGTGCCTTCTGTGTTAAATGTGCATCAGACTTTCCTGAACACCACTCAGCACTGGACCTTGTATTTAATACAGAGCCTAAAATATTTGGAGGCAATCTGCTTCCTTTAAAATTTATGCCTTGCTTAGAGAGACAAAACATATACAAATTACACAAAATGATTACAAGGTACATAAGCAAAATATACAAATAAATTCTCTTTACAAGGTATGCAGAATAAAGTGTTACCTTAATTGGCCACAGTAACAGGACTGCTGTTCAAGAAGGCAACAGACATGAAGTGGTAGAGAGAAGGCAGGAGGGGATTCAAGGCAGGAAGCACTGAGTAGTAATCAGCAAGTTCTATGTGTAGGAAAAGAAGCTGATTATAGCAGGCCATGCAGGACAGGCAGGTGAAGAGAAAAAAAGATAAGAAAATGCAGACCACCTTCTAAAAGAGGCAGCTGCCAGCGGGCCTTCAACATCAGGTTTAGGAATTTCAACCCAATATTGACAAAATGAGCAACTGTATGTTCCAGACAATAGCTTATTTTGATTAAAAACATATCTAGAAAGAAAAGCCTAGTAGTTATCTACAGAATTAGTGTTAAGAAGAAATTATTATGGAACTGTTACGGTGATTCAAGAATGAGCAGATAATCTTTTGTTGGTTAAAAAAAGAGAGAGAGAGAGAGAAAGAGAAAAGAAAAGGTAAATAACAAAATGTTGCAGAATGGTAGACAAGAGATTATAATCAGCTGCATATGACAGTGGAATAAAATGAAATCACAAAAGGATATTAACTTAAGGGACCATGAGAACAATGGTAATAAAGGAAAGAAGGAAAAAAAGGATAATGAACAAAGGAACTTGAAAAAGTTTCTGATATTTGAATTTTCATCTGTGGGCTAAATATCCAGAGAGAATGTCCTACATGTAGGCAACCAAAATCCAGGATTGTGAGACAAGATAAATCCAGGAATGAAGATGTAAATTTAAAATCCTCCAGTATAGAGTGTATTAAGAAAATCTAGATTCAGTGAACCAAGTAAAAGTATGAATAATAAACAAGCAAACAAATGAGAAGTAGGGACTATGATGTATAATTAAAAGAAAATAATTATAAGCCAAAAAACAGAAGGCAGCCAAGATTATATTAAAAAGTATTATGCAGCCTTAAAGAAGGATGATATTGACCTAATGTGATAACAGAAATATACCCAGATATTTCCTTAGTTGAAAAGCAGAATGCAGGCTCTTCTGCTTCCAACTGAAAAATTAAATGTCTGCCAACTATAGATCTAGATCCTAGATACAAAATTTGGGTTTTAATTTGGGACTGACAGAAAGTAAAATCCAAATAATCTATATCCCCTCTCTCAAAAGCAAGTAGAAACCTGGGCAATGAAATGGGGCTATCTCAAGGTCAAATCTAATATTACCACAGCCAGTGGCAAAAGAACTAAGGCTCTAGGATTATAGTCATACTCCCTGGTTCCTGGAAGAAGCAAATGCAAAGCCTGTTTTGGTGAAACTCCATCACTTCAGATATTCAAGTTTCTTAGTTTAAGATCAGCTATCTTAAACTAAGATTATCAAATACCAAAGGAAATAAATCACCATGCATAAGAGTCTCAAAAAAAAAAAAAAAATAACAGACTTAAACCTTTCTCTCAAGGGTTTCAGATAATTAGATAAAGAATTTAGAATTATAATAGATGAATAATTTAAATAAATAAAAGACAAGAATCACAAAAATGAAAAAGCAACAATAGATTATTAGAAATTACAGATATACTTGATGGTTTGGTTTTTCCTTTCGATGTTGCTGGTTATATTTTTCTTGCCTGTTTGTTAAGGAGGGAGAGGGGTAACGAGGAAAAGAAGGGAAAGGGTCAAATCAAGGAACATGTATAAAGAACCCATGGACAAAGCCAAAGTGGGGGAGGATTGGGAGTGAGAGGTGGGGGTGGGTGAGACAGGGGAAAGCGGTGGTGGGAAAATGGAGACATGTATTTGAACAATAAAAAATAAATTAATAAAAAGAAATTGCAGATATACTTGAATAGAATCAACCTGAACTTTCAAAAGCAAAAGGCATAATTGTTGAACTAAAAAACTCAGTGGAAGTATTAAACGGCAGACTACATAAGTAAGGAGAGAATTATTAAACTGAATGAAAGACAGATCTAATGAATTACCTAGAATATGCCCAAAGGGCCAAGGAGAATGGAAAATATGAAAGGTGCTTAAGAGTCATGGAAGACAGAATAAGAGAGTCTAAAGATATTTCTACCTAGAGTCCCAGAAGAAAAGAACAGAGAGAAAAAAAAGAGGAGATATTTAAAGAAATGATTACCAAGAATTCCAAAAACAATGGAAGACAGTATCCACAAATATTGCCATAGAGCATATATCAAAAAGGACAAATGTATAAAGCAAAAGAAACTGCAGCTAAATATATTGTAGTAAAACTGAAGGACAAGGACAAAGAACAAGAAACATCAAATAGGATGAATGGAAGACTTCTCGACAAGGGAAGACTAGCAAAAGATAGTATAAAAATAGTTTGTATTAGAATGGGGTGGGAAAGGATGAAGTAGGGAACTGTACTACTTAAGATACTATAGTACTGTGCAGAGAAATAAAGTAACAAGAATCAAGGTAAGGAACACCAAAATAAAGCCTCACACATCTGGGAAATAGCATAGATGAGAAAGAGAGGCGGCATTTGAAAAATAATAATTTGATAAATGGGATCTATAAATGGGACCTGGGACAAGTAACATATTATAAATTTATGGATTCTGTTATTTTCACACTATACAATTATGCCTCCAATCAGCAAGAAGAATATCTACTCCTCAAACCTTTTAAAACTGTTCTGGAGGAAGTAAAATCAAAGGTGGACCAGGTACAGGACATCATTACTGGGAACCCTACAGTCATCAAGATGGCCATCAGCTTCAACAGAGGTGCCCATGGACAGGACACACTGCGCCAGCTCCTGGCCCCAGTGCTGAAAGAGATCATTGATGACAAGTCCCTGGTCATTAACACAAACCTTGTAGAGGTGTACAAGGCTTGGGTGAACCAACTAGAAACACAGACTGGAGAAGCCAGCAATCTGCCCTACGATGTGACTGCAGAACAAGCACTAACATACCCAGAAGTGAAAAGTAAATTGGAGGCATCCAATGAGAGCCTGTGAAGGGTCACCGACAAAGTCCTGAACTCCATCATCTCCTCCCTTGACCTGCTGCCTTATGGATTGAGGTATATAGCCAAAGTACTGAAGAATTCGATCCATGAGAAATTTTCCAATGCAACAGAAGATGAGCTATTAAAGATTGTTGGGAACCTCTTGTACTATCGGTACATGAACCCAGCTATCGTAGCTCCAGACAGCTTTGATATCATTGACATGACAGCTGGCAGTCAGATAAATTCTGACAAGAGGAGAAATGGGAACGGTGGCCAAGGTCCTTCAGCATGCAGCCTCCAACAAGCTGTTTGAAGGAGAGAATGAGCATCTTGCTTCTACAAACAATTATTTATCAGACACATATCAGAAGTTCAGGAAATATTTCAAAGAAGCGTGTGATGTCCCCAAGCCAGAAGAAAAGTTTAATATGGATAAATACACAGATGTGGTGACAGTCAGCAAACCAGTGATTTATATTTCAATTGAAGAAATCATCAGCATACATTCACTCCTGTTGGAACACCAGGATGCAATTGCACCTGACAAAAATGACTTACTGAATGAACTGTTGGAATTGCTGGGAGAAGTACCTAATGTGGAATCTTTCCTAGGGGAAGGAGCAGTTGACCCCCATGACCCCAACAAGGCAAACACACTAAATCAGTTCTCAAAGACTGAGATTTCCCTTGTCTCGACAAGCAAGTATGACCTAGGAGATGGTGAAGGTATAGATGGCCAAAGCCTCATGATAAAGACTAAAAAACTGATAATCGATGTGATCCGGAACCAACCAGGAAGCACATTGACAGAAATCTTAGAGGCACCAGCAACTACACAACAGGAAATGGATCATGCCACAGACATGGTGAGCCATGCAATTAAAGATTCCAAGACTCCAGAAGAAATGAAGGATAGCCAGTCTATGGTTGAAGATTCACAGCTGCTCCTTGAGCAGAAGAGGAGGAAAATCCAGAGGAATCTTCAGACATTGGAACAGATGGGACACATGTCATCCAAAAATAAATACCAAGACATTCTCAATGAGATTGCCAAGGATATTCAAAATAAAAGAATCTATTGTAAGCTTCAGAAAGGCGAGTTGGCCAAACTGCAGCAGACCTTGAAAGCACTTAACAAGAAGGCCGCATTCTATGAAGAGCAAGTTAATTACTATTTTATGTAGAGAGTAAGGTAGGGATCCAGTTTTTTCTCCCATTCTATGGATCCCTACCTCACTCCCTACATAAAAGTCAATTCCAGATGGAGGAAAGACTTCTATGTGTAGAGAAAAACTAAAACACTTGCAAATATAAGGTAGTATTTTTATCCCTGTGGATTGGTATATTAAAATTTTCATAAAACCAAAACATAAAAATGTTTGACAACCAAGAATAGAAAAATTAAGAACTTCTGTTCATCAAAAGACACCATAAAGAAAATATAAACATAAGCTGCACCTTGGAAGAATACATCTGCCAGAAACAATCAAAATAGAATCAGTAGTCAGACTATATAAAGTAGTACAAATTAAAGAGAAAAAGATATATCAGTAGGGAAATGATAAGGACATCATTAGGCATATCACAAATGAACACACATGATCAATGAACATATGGAAAGATTTTAAACTTTATTAGTAATTTGAAAAATACAAAAATAAGGTCTGATTTTCACCTAGTTAAGTCATAAAAATGTTTAAATCTGGCAAAGCAAGTGCTGACAAGAATGTGGATGAATGGCAACTCTTTTCAAGTTGTTGGTAGAAATAATACATGGTGCAACCACTTTGGAAAATAAACATTCTGTTGTAAGAAGACTACTCTTCTAATCTATGACTCATGAATTCTATTCCTAAATAGCTACCACAGAGAAAACTTTAAACTTGTAGATATTAAAACACACACAAGAATGTAAATAGCTGCATCTTTCATTTAAAAAGATTAAAATGATCTAAATGTTCATCAACAAGAGAATGGAAATAAATTGTGGTATATTCACAGTAAAATATCATACTGTAGAGAAGAGTTAATGAACTGTAGCTACATGTTACAATGTGGATGATTCTTAGAAATATATAAATGAGTGAATAAAGCAATAACACCATTTTTATAATGTTTAAAAATAAGAAAAACTAAAGGATATACACTGTTTAGCTATAGAGCAAAGCAAGGGCATGATAAGCACAAAGCCAAGAAAATGCTGCCCTCTGAGAGGACAAGGAAAGAATTTATGTGCCAAAGCAGTGACACTGGAAATGTTCTAGTTTTTAGGCTGGGGGGTTGGTTTGTGGGTGTGTATGTGATTACTTAAATATACATACAGAATATACACACAACAACCTGTTATATGTCTTTTTTAAAAATAAAGACAGAAGAAATTTTACACTGGTTATATTTCAGGCAAACTCTCTTTCTATTTTGTACACTTCTATGATGTTGGAGTCTTCTAAGAACATATACCACATTTTAAAAAAATGAATAAACAGGAGTTATCTGCATAAATGAATTACAGGCTACTTTAAAATTTTCTTCTTTATACTTTATAGTTGTTTTAAAAATGTTACTTAAACATTTTTTTAAAAAAAAGAAACCATAACAAATCTTTACAAAAACTGACTTATCTTGCAACTCATGTCAGGTGGAGGCTACTATCTAAAATAATGTCAGGAACAAGGGATCTAAATGTATGTTTGAAAGGCAAAAATATTTGATTAAAAAATACAGAGTGCCAAATACACATCAGATAGTGGATTCCATTTCATGTTAATTTTTCTGTTTTTGTGATGTTACTATAATTTTACATAGAAAGCAAGCAAGACTTTAAAATACTTCAAGGTTGCATGGGCTTATGACCCATCTAAATGGATTTTTTCAAAATAAAACTATTACTGCCATTAATAAATTTCTTATTATGACAGTAATTTATATATTTATTTTTAATGACAAATTAATTTGCTTTGAAAATATCTTACTGTTACTCCTTCATATTCTTTCTTCACATTTCCTTTATTCTCTTGAATAGGCTTAGGCTCTGAAGAACTCAAATTCTGTGTGTTTTCTATCTTTTGACCTAGATAGAGATTTGGTGAAAAAAAAAAATCAACAGAAAGAACATGTCAGATAATAAAACTGAAAACATAGTCTTATAAATTGGTAATTTTTAAATTTTGATATTCTAACATACATAAAACAGGAGTTACAGGTCTGGCAAACTCGTAGTTTATGGGTCAGGTTCGCACTATAAACCTTTGGTCCAAAGTGAACTTTTAAAAGAAAGGATTGAATGTCACTCCTTTCTTAGCACATTATGTTAGCACAAGGGAAGGCAAGAAACCTCTCCTGGAGGTTGTGAGGAAAAGATCTCAGAGAAAAGCTGCCTGAGTTAGCCAGGTGAGCTAACAGGAAGAAGAAATCAGTAAGGTGGCTCAGAATCTCTTGAGATTAAAATTGATGAGAAAAAGAATATCCAGAATCAGCTATTAAAAAGGTAATATCATCACAAAGCCTGCACACATTATAAAGATCATAAGAGGATTTTGTGAATAATCTAGGACCAATAAATTTGAAAAAATACATGAATTGAACAAATCCCTAGAAAAACAAACTTATCAAAATCAAAACAAGAAAGGAAAATCTAGATAGTCTTACAATGATTTTAAAATTTGAGTGGTATTTTAAAACCTTCCCACAGAAAACTCCAGGCAAATGGTGGGTTCTACCCAAATATGTAAGGGGGGAAAAAATCACAACAATCTTACACAAAAAAAATCTTTCAGAGAACAGAAAATCTTCAGATAGTATATTTCTCAAATTATTTTTTATTGCACTTTCTTATTTCAAGAATATTCTAAGAGGCAATACTTCCTTACTCATTTGATGAGGTTAGCATGACTGTGACATTAAGAATTGTGAGAAAACTTGTAAATAAATAAGGTTGACTTATTTTTTAATATAACTCATAAAAATAAACTAAATGATAAGTATGTTCATTAACACTAGATACAATTTACACATGCTCTTTCATTGTATGTGTACAATGGTCCAACCATTTGCCTCTTTGTTTTCCATACCATTTTGTTGCTGAAAGTTGTTGGAGAAACTGTGTAAATTAATGCTATTAAGACCTATTATTTTCAATGTCAATGGAGTTTACAAGCTGCTAATAAAATTTTTCACAATCTGGGTAGCTTTCCATTCTGTCAACTATTGTGGCCCTCTTCATGGCCCTTTCCCACATCTACCTAATCTTGCCTAGCCTTTTACCTAACTTGCTGCTCTCCTTGACCTTGTGGTGTAACATTCTCTGTATCATGCCTACTCCGGCCACCCTGGACATCTTTCTAGTTCCCAAACATGCCACACTGGAAAAACACTGGACGTATGTATATGCAGTTTAGATAACTATATTAAAATAAATAGTGAAAATATTTTATTGCCAGAAATCACATTCTTACATTCCGAACCTAAGAAGTAAATTCCTTTGAAATAAATAGTTAGAATAAATGTAGAAAGCAATAAGACATACAGCCTCTTCCCAGCCAGAGTCTTCCACTCTGCACTAATAACTGAAGAAGCTCCTCCATACCCTGAGCTGACTCTGAACACAGCGGCTCAGTGACATCAGCTGTGCTGCTGCTCCGAATGATCTGCTGCTGCTGCTCTGCCACCAGGTGGCCAGATTCAATTGCAGGTGCATTTTCTGACTGCTGACATTCTTCCACTTCTGTGGGCATTAACACAAAATATGTAGAGAGTATTTCAAAATTCTAAAAAATAATTTCACCACCTAAAACAACTGATTCTAAAAGTGTAGTTTTAGATAGTTTTTTCCCCACAAAAATTGTGCAGTAAGATAATCCGTACCTACATTGGGAAGTTTCCTACAATTGTTAACACCAATATTCTACTCCAAGAATACATTTTCCTTTTATGTTCTACAAAGTATTTTGTTTTGTAATCTAAATGAAAGGGAGTGTGGGGGGATAGAAAAAGCCACCGAAATGGTTATTATAAAAGTTATTTGGAATTCAGGGACAGGCATGCACAGGAAAGGGAGATCCAGAAGACACATGGAATGGGTTATTTACATTTGAAGGGTGTAGAAATCAGTGCACATGCACATACGCACATAAACTAAAGGAAGATAAAAGGAAACATGGGGATTTCAACTCTATTGTTCCTTTTAATGAATAAATGCACAACTTTTCAAAAAAAATACGATAATTTTTTAATGGCTTATACCACCAAATGTAATGTTGAATTAATCAATGAAGTACAAAAATGATCCACAGGTCTTTTTAGAGAATCAATACACATATGACAAAAAAAAAAGAAAACCACAGATGAGTACTAACTACTAGATAATCTCATCTAACATTATTACAAACTATATTGCCTTAGAGAATGAGTCTCCTTCCAGCTCATTTCTAAACTCTATGGTTCATTTTAATCTCCAAAGACAACCCAAAGCACTGGAAGATCACACTACCCTCTCTCTCTAGAACTACAGTTTTGGTGTGGCATCATCTTTTGCCTAGGTTATTATAGTAATCTCCTAACTGGTCACAGTCCCCTTTTTCTTGCCACCTTCATATGGTCCTCTATGTGGTCCTAAAGAAATTCCTTTAAAACAAAGATGTACTCATACCACTCCTCTGCTGCCAATGCCCTCCATCACTATCTAGTCAGGACCATGCCCCTCACAGTGGATTCAGGGCTCTTCTTGATCTCACCCCACACAGTAGATCCCGCACAAGGAGCTCTTACTTAGTTTCTAGCAACACTAGTCTACTTGGCACCTTCTGCTCTCTCCTTCCTACTGCTTACGTCTCCTTGTTAACTTGGCACTCCTGTTTCCTTCTTCTTCCCTCCCATACTGCCTGGGCACACCCCCTACAGGACTCGCCATGTGTTCCTGCATGTGAACCTCATTAATACAGTCCAGACCAGACTCCACACTCATTTATGTAGATATGAAATTTACATCCATATAACTTTAACATGATATTTGCTGAAAGTTTAATTAGTAAAGTTTTATTCTAAGAAGCAACTGATCAAAATTCAGCCTGTATCATCTTAGCTGGTAGTGTCACCCAATTCCTTACCTGAAATAAGACTCACTGTCAACATGCCACCCTCTGTATAATCTTTTAATCTGAGCCACAAACCAAAGTTCTGGTTCATCTAACCAATAAGTTTTATGTAGGAAAATTCTAAATATGAGAGAAAGGATTTCAACAAAAGATTGCTTCCTTATTTATACTTTCCAAATAAAAATCCCATTTAAAGTACACTGATACATGTTACAAGATCCTTTACTTATAATGCAGAGTACTGGGCCACAGTCTAAATGCAGGAAGCTGAACTGAGGGTATACAGAAAACCAAGGTACAAGAGCAGACAAACTCAGTAAAGCCTCATCTTTTCAGGATGCCTTTATTCTTTTCTTGAATAGCCAAGAGCTGTTCATTTTCCCACAGAGAAACACAAGACCTACATACCCACACATCCCCAAGCATAGACTTTTCAAAGGTCTACTTCCAGGCTCTTCAGCATTAGGCAACAGAAGCCAGACAGTACCACGGGACCAGCCCCTTCCAGCTCTCTTCTTGCACTGTTTTTTCTAATTAGGCAAGACTTTGAAACCTTCTGGGAAGTGTTTCAGTTCTTAATGAACCTACTTGTTAATCTAATATCAGTAGAGGGAGCCCAAGAGCTTTGCAGTGCTCTAAAAAATAACTGATGCCAGTTTTTATGGGTAAAGAGAAAAGTGGATTTTATTCATTTAAATTTGATGCCAATAGTTTCTGGGCTATAAGCAGACAAGTAAGAGCTGGGCCAACACTAGCAGCGTCTTTTTAAAGATAAAGAATATTGCCATCTGGTGGGATGAGATACAGCCACTATGATACAGTCACAGCACTATGACTTCCAAATTGAAGTGTCCCTACTGGTCCATGACACAACAGACGGACAAAGAGCCTGCCATCACCAGCTGGTCTGCCTTCCCAACAGGCCAGTCTGATGCAACTTTAAGACTTTATTTTTGTAAAACTGTTGGTAGGTTCTTCTCAGGTGGAGAAAGTCCAAGCCTGTGGAAATCACCAGAAGTGGTGAGAGTGGGAGCATCCATGATGAAGATGGGAAGGAAGGGGAGAAAAATAATGTCAAAAGTGCTGTGAGGGTTCTTATGCTACTGGTACCCTAAGCTATTCCTGTAGTTGACTGTTAAATGATACAAAGAACTGTGCAAAAAAGAATTTTAAATTCTACCTATCCCACAATTTAAACCCAATTTCATGACTTAGAAGTATACATCTTTTTGTCTTTTATCACACTTTGTACTAAGTATATATTCAATATATGTTTTGTATAAATGAATTAATGAACACCAAAAACATTTCCTTGATGTAGTTCCTTAAAACAAAACAAAAGAAAATAAAAAACAGTTCTTGAGCTCCCTCTGCTGGTCTTTATTTGTTAAGAAAGAGCAAACTAACATTAAAGCTGCTCCCACTGTACAGTATCAGTTGTAGTATTCTTTCATGATATATTTAAAACCATTTTAACACTGATATGTAAATATCAAGATAAAGAATTATCTGATATTCAAAATAGAAAAAAAATCTAAGTTATATAACAATTACATTATAAATCCTGGGAGTTCTAATGCATTGTCTGTTTAGAATATCACACAATATCAATTTGAATCACTTCAAAGAGCTCAATCCTATCTCAGATTTGCATCATTCACATTCTCACAAACATAGCTAACCCAATAACCCAAATTTTTAACGCACTAATTTTTTAGCTTCTTGATAAGTTATACAATACCATTACTAAACCATTGCTTTCTAAAGCTCCATTCAAAACATGAGAAAACTGATCAAATAAGGATGACTTAATTTCATTTTTCCCATTGAGAGAAGAATCAGCATGATTAAATTAAGTAGGTAAGCTCTTTAGAACCTTCTATAAATTCCAGATATCTGACTACTTTTCAAAGCAATTTCACTCACTCTTTATCCTTAATATATGCAGTGAGACTCATTCTTCAATAACCAAAATTCTGGATTCCATTTACCTCTCATACAAGGTTGCATAAGCAATATTAATAATTTCCCATCTTTTAAAACATTGTGCATGATACCAACCTACCCCTGTAAAAACACAAGAGATGTAAAGCAACTCAGCATCTTGATGTTTACCACAGAGTCCAAAGGTGAAATCAGTCTGGACCTTAACAAGCACTTCCTGATAATCGAGAAGTGCTACCTGGAAGCCAGAGAACCTGATGCAGAAGCACTTAAGTGAGGCTTTCAGTTAGGTCCCCTTAAGTCTCTTAAAATGAGGAAAGATTGCAGATTTTCTAATTACTATTACAATGTTCCTAAAAGAAAAATAATACCTACCACGTGTGTAACCTATGAGCACTATAGATCAGTGATTTTCAACTAGTATGCTGAGGCAGGCACACTGGTGTACCTCAAAAAATTTTAAAACATGTAATACCTGACTATATAGTCAGGGGCACTGAACTCTTTTCCCTTAGATTGTCAAATAAAAAAATGACAACAGCAAATACAACAATAGCTGTCCAGTGTGAATGAATCAAAATTACACCTATTTTTTGTCAGATTGGCAAAAATTATATTTTTTGGTGTGCCACAGAATTTTAGTGAATAGTTTATATGTGTCATGAGGTGAAAAAGGTTGAAAGTCACTGTTATAGACTGATAAATCTCTCAATACAAAAGCAGTTAAAATTGCAAAACAGCTGGAAAGAACTGTTACCAAAAAAGGAGAAAAAGGGAAATCACTGAAACTGCCAGTTCTACTTCCTGCAAGTTTGTTTATGTAGCTATTCATGTTAATGGACTACAGGTGGTTGTGACTTTCCCAAAATTCTGCTGTGGCCAAATAGTCACAAAGGGATCAGAATGAGAAATAATAGTGGCTGAAGGTAAGGAAATTGTGTTTATATTATTAACACAATTTGGTGGGTCAAATAGTTATACAGATTAGAAATAAAAACAAGAAATGTTAATTTAAACAAAAAAATTAGCAGTCATTTTTATAGTAAAAAACTGGTGTCCATAAAGTCAACATTAAATGGGTCTGCATATTATGTTTAGGTGAATGTATATTATCTAGATATTTAGCAACAGGTTAGCAAGATATGTCAATACACTAGGATTTAAATTGGAGCACAAGTTTAAGACTCTACTGTGCCATCCAGTGGAGAATGTACAATCTAATACTGAGGACTGATAAACATTGCTCTTGGCCCAGTCTCTTGATAGAACAGCCACAAAAGCCAATGGCATCACTTTAATAGTAAAGAACAAATGGTATCAGACTAAGGAGGAGCTCACTACTGTAGCCAGATAAAAGGGAAAGAACAAATAGATAACTGTTCTCAAAGGCATTTTACTGCAGTCTCTTTATCCTTTGTGTCAAAAAACCAAAGATGAGAATGCCAAAGACAGGAAAACAGACACAGCATAGCCTGCTTCATTTCACCCTAAATCAGAGCCTCCCAATCTCAGCACTATTGATATCTTGGGTCCAGTATTTCTTTGTGGTGGGGGCTGTCCTGTGCATTTTCAGGTTGTTTAGCAAATCCCTGGCTTCCACCAACTGGATGTCAGTGGCACTGCTCCAGTTCTGACAATCAAAAATGTCTCTAGACATTGTCCGATGTTCTCTGGGGAGCACAATCATCCCCAATTGACAACCAGTGCTCTAAATCATATTCAACTTCTGTTGAAACAGTGTATGTATACATGGGAATCAAGAACCTGAGTAAACTAAAATATAATGCTGAATGAGAAAAAAGTCTTCAAAATGAGATTACTAAAATAGTTTATTTATCATCTCTAGACAGTATTTTTTTTGAAAACCAAATTATCAAGGAGTTAATGCACATCAGTAATTTGACTGTACCCATCCTCTCATGTGCCACTCTTAATGTTTTTCACTAGAGAAAGAGACTGTTTTTAAGAATCATAGTCCTTATTCTCAATACATCTATCTCCTGCTCTTATATTATGTAAATTAATTAATATGATATTTTACATGCTCATTAGGGGAATTCAGCTTTAATATTGCTTTGCTAAGCCACAGTGTGACATTATTTAGTGGTACAGAAAGCCATAATGAGGCTATCTCCAATATTAAACACAAATAATACCATCCTTCTGAAAATAAAAAAGAATATGAAAATATTTCCCTCTTTAGAGGATTCGGTTCATCTTAGGATCACTTAAAAACAAGTAGACTTAGACCTAATTATTCACTGTAGTGCAAAGTAAATCCTTTTTTTGGAGTATGTATATATGCCCCAAATCACTTTTGGTGCAACAATGTCTTAATAAACCATTAAGACATTATATTGTGTATAAATCACATGTAGCTAAACTGAATTTTAATTGGCTGAAGCCCAGGAATAATTTTTCTTTGTTTGAAAAATTAGCACTATTTAGCAGGGATTTTTTTTTTTTTACTCAAATCTCAATCAGTATGTATCTGCATAAACTGATCATTACTTTACATGTGATTATCATTTATTAACTCAAAGGAAGACTTGCCAGCATAATTTTTCCAGTTTATTCATTTTAGAGGGGGCACAGGAAGCATTCTGATTGAAATGCTCAAATCTTTTGTAAAATGTTATGAAAATCCCCTTCAAGGCACTGGATAGAAGGTACACTGAGGCAGGCATTACTGTTTCCCTCTATTATACTGTGGGCTACAAAGAAAAAAAATCCTTTTATGCTTCTTAACTGGGAATGCAAAGACCAGTGGTGCTACAGAAATTTTTCTTGACTTTTAATTGCTACTAAACGTCTACCTACATAAAAACAATTATTAATATTCACTGAAAAAAACCACAAAGTACAATGCCCAGGCACACATGCGTTACATGATGATATTGACAAAGAAAGCAAGACCCAGAGGCAAGTGGGAGAAGTCCAGGAACACTAACAGACATTTGACAAAGGATTACAGTACCTGGCAGCCTGTGAGAGCAAGAGGAGTAAGAGAGACCAGGTAAGAGAGTGCTCACGCTGTGAAGGAGGAGCGGGATGCTTTTAGTGGCAGGCAAAGCCTCAGAAAGTTGGAAACAGTTGCTGATAGACTGGCTTCTCTTAGCTTCCAGGAAAGATAAAGTAATAGTTATGTCAGAAGAACATCAGTATCTTTCACTTTTTTATTGTTATTGTTTTTCTGGGTTCTCTTTAAATACATCGTGGGGTAAAAGTAAGTTTACAGTTGAGAGGATATGAAACAGAGTTTATTCTTGTATTACTATTAATGATTGTATGATTTTGCATACCAACAACTAACTGTAACCTTTTGCCCCACCCTGTATTTAAAGGAGGTCATTTTAAACTTTAAAGGCAGTCAGTACAAAGCACATACAGCCAACTTCCAAGTCACTCTGATGACATGGGAAAATGGACAATTCACAATCTTATTTTATTTTTTAGAGAGATAGAGGAAGGGGGAAGGAAAAGGAGGGGGAGAGGGGAGAGAGGGAGAGAGAGAGAGAGAGAGAGAGAGAGAAACATCTATTTGTTGTTCCACTTATTTATGCATATGCATTCATTGGTTGATTCTTGCATGTGCCCTGACCTGCGATCAAACCTGCAACCTTGGCATATTGGGATGACACTCTAACCAAGTAAGCTACCTGGCCAGGGCCCAGTCAATTTTATTTTAGAGTGCTTTATATGTTTAGTCTTTCCTTGTTTTCTGCTGTGTCTCAGATTCACATTTGAGTTGTTTATTTGGGCAAACATTATAATCAGTTTTTTTCCCCTTGCTAAAGGACACAAACAAAAAGACCACAGTGAGGGAGAGAAAATCTAGGCTAAGATGAAAAGTGTTCTACAAATAATACATAATTCAAACATTGGTTTACTGAAAGCTGACTGTATTCAAAAGCAAATCATTTAGTAAATTAAATATCCTAAAAGCTTAAACACACATAAAAGTGAAGCTGAAAATTAAAAGATTTGATAAATGAAAAGATAAAATCTCCATGAAACCCATCCTTTTTTACATCACATTTCATGTTTCTAAAATCCATAATTTCCTATTACAAACTTTATGGTGTTATTAAGTTTTCAATATACTGCTATTCAAATGACCATTTGAGAAAACAGACACAGAAAGAGAATATGCCTTATAAATATGAAAATACCATCGGTAAAATCAGTTTATCCTTAAAACAAAAATATAAAGTTTTACCTGCTGTTTTGTTATCTTTATTTGATTTTAACCTTGATGAAATAGAACTACAAATGCTAGTGACATCTTTGCAAAAAGTGCAACAAACGTTTCAGTTTCCTGTGTTTCCCTCCATCCCTTGGCTATCAGAATTTCCAGTTCTAAGGGACTATCTGCAATGCAATTACAGTATAATTTACGAATGTGTAAAATAATATTTAAGTGAAAACAACTTCCATGTAAACACCAAACTAACTTAAAATTTCCTGTAAGATTTGTTCATCTCTCAATGTCAGACACAGATTTGAGTGTTGTTTTAAAAAGTGTTCCTTTTGTAAATCAAATGATTGTGCATTCTTCCAAAACTGATCACTACATATTTCAGAAATAATAAAATATAGAATAATTATTTTGTGTGAAAATTGACATGTTTAGTCACCATTTTACACAGCTAAAATTTTAGTATCGTTCACACTAAGGAACAAAGTTTTACTTTATAGTTCTTTAACATTCTCCTTGCTAGTCCTTTTAACTTGCAAACTAAGTGTATACTCTGTTAAACTGCCATTTCCCTACTCAGCAATTCCTCATTTTATATTTCCCTCTTGACACCATCACTAACATTTTCTCAAACTAAGAATAGTCTGTGGGGGAAATCATCATATAATAATCTTCAATTATTCTCTTCCTGAGGCTGGAAAAAAAATCCCTTTTCAAAGGGCTCTTCCATATTAATATCTTAATGTTAAAAGTAGCAAAAACTGCCCTGACTGGAGTGGCTCAGTGGACTGAGAGCCGGCCTGCGAACCAAAGGGTCACTGGTTCGATTCCCACTCACGGCACATGCCTGGGTTGTGGGCTAGGTCCCCAGCAGGGGGCACTCAAGAGGCAACCACGCATCGATGTTTCTCTCCCTCTCTTTCTCCCTCCCTCCCCCTCTCTCTAAAAATAAATAAATAACATCTTTTAAAAAAAAGTAGCAGCAAAAACTAATTTCACAAGCAGCAGCTTGTTCCCTCATTAAAAGATGGCTTCTATACAAGTTAAAATCTACCATGAAAATAATCTGGGCCTTTTTAAAAGACAAAAAGGTGAATTATTATACAACATATAAACAACAGAACTGAGTAAAACAACTAATATTTAGTCTATACAGATTAATTTTATAAAATAGCATCCTATAATAAAATTTTCAAAAACCACTGCTTTCATAGGCAACAAAAAAGATTTACAATTTAAAAATTTTTAAAAGTATAACATAAAATAGGAAATTCACATATATGTATCCATACATATGTATATGTAAAATACGTAAGATTATAGCTATATCCAACTCAATAGCTCTCATCCTCATTATCTTTTACAGGTTATGGTTTCAAGTGTTTTTAATTTAATTAAACTCACAAAGGCTAGCTTTATGGTTTTTAGGTGACATCCTCTGCAAATACTTTATATGCTTTTGTAAAAGTTCTTATTTTTGCACTACTGTGATACTTCAGACACCTGAAGATACTAATAAACAAATCCTCAATGGCATAAATGTGCTGAGAATTTTCTAAAACATGCTGTGGCCTATACCATATTATTGGTCTAATATACCTATTGAAAAACTAAGATGCAATCTCTTCTATGGCTGTGTTTTGGCCAAGTGGTGGCATATGAAACATACAATGTCCAATAATCTGTTCCTCATAAAAATGTGAGAATAAAGTTTTTAAAAATGTTCTAAGTTTGAATGGTCACTTTTACTATCAGAGTGATGCAAGGGTTGTAACTAGTAACAGGAAGTCTGAGCAGCTCAGGTATGATGCCACTTTTGTCATAAACTTTTACTCTGATCCCTTTCTTTTAAAGATCCAGTGATAGAAGAAAGGAGTTTTTAGCAGGTGTGACGAGAAAAGAAATCAGTGAATAAGCCTCCCTACAAGTTTTCTGTTACCAGGAATAGGGGCTTTTTTCAGGGGAGAGGATGCAGCAGAAAGGAATTAAATAAGTGATGAATGTAAAGTGGGTGACAAATACCAACAAATGCTTCAGTAAAAAGCATTAGACAGTGTTAAGGTATATTTTCATAAAACTCCAAAAGGATTCTAAGCCATCTATATTTATTTATTAAGCACTGTAAAGTATGTTGAGTGTAAAAAAATCTTTTATTCATTACTAGAGAATATTGTAACTTTCTGCAGTCAATATGCTGATTAACAATTATAACTGTATGTATTATTGATGTGAAAAACCGCAGGAAACTCAGATAAATTTGTTTTAAACTTAAGTTACAGCCTCAAAGTCAGGGGGAGGGGCGCTACTTGTTATTAAATACTGGTTATAAGCTTACTTTTTGAAGATTTCTCTTTTTATTTTAAGAGTAAAATGTAGCAAAGAAGCCTAATTACCTGGGGTTCTTGGTCAGGTTTTTGTTAATTCTTACTGGCTGATAAGGACATCTACAGGCATATAAAACTCAATTTGCAAAAGATACAAAAAAATTTAAGTGTCTCCACCCAGTCCTGAGAACTATTATTCTCCTTGTTGCTGGAACAAGTTGCCACACTCTCTCAAGATTCATATTTTTCAATTATAATAATGCAACTAGTTGTGTGATTACTAAGACTCGTTTCCTCAAGATTCAAATAAAACATCTATTTTCTCTCTTGCACACATACCTCCACCAATATTAACATCTCCCTCAATATTAAAGCCTTTCCACAATGAGGTATTTCAAAATAAAGTAACCAAACAGAATGTTAAAAAAATAGAGAAATCTCATCTAATGAAACATCTAGCTTTAACTTCTCAGTAGAATTTTAAAACTTTTACATTTTATTCCTATAAATCCATTTTATCTTTTACTTCTTTAATCCTCACCCAAAGACAGGTTTATTGATTTTTAGGGAGAGAAGAAGGGGGAGAGAGAAAGAAACACTGATGAGCTGCCTCTTGTATGCGCCCCTGATCAGGAATCAAACCCACAATCTAAGTATTGTGCTCTGACCAGACGGTGAATCCACAACATTTTGGTGCATGGGACAACGCTCCAACCAACTGTACCACTGGCCAGGGCCCTATAAATCCATGTTTGTTAAATACCAACTATACCTTTGGGGAAGATTTAAATAAATGTTTACCAGTTGCTTTTTGGCGAATGGTGTTTCTTGCTTTCTCAACTCCTGATGCCCCAGATGTGGTGGCACTCCTAAATCGCATAGGCTCAGTCACATCTGGGTGGCTCCTCCAGCTGAGAGAAAAGGATCTCCCCACAGTGGTTCCTTTTTGAGAATCTAGAATGCAGCCTGATAAAGGATAAGACAAGAAAAAAATTTTAAAGGCTAAATTCATTATTATTCATTTTATAGCCTATGTTGCTCAGCAAATTTCATTCCTACAATTATGTAAAATCAGCAGTTTCTCTTATTGCAAATTAGGTGCCACTTCCCTGTATTATAATTTAGGAAGTTATTCATGTACAAGTAATCTAAACATTCCTATTGACAAAGTATTTTTCAAGCATCTCCAACAGTCTCATGAAAATTACCATATCTTTATAGTACTCACTCCAATATACAAAAAACACATCAGCAAACCTTTCTCAATATAAGAACAATGTCAAATGAAGTTATATCACTACCCTCAAAACTTTCATAAACCAGAAAATTAAAGATCTGATTTTAGACTAGCATTCCATCATGGAGGAGCCAGCCTTTCCACAAATACCCAGAAGAAATTTATGCCTGTAATCTCTAATTAGAGACAACCAAGTCAATAAGGAAAAAGACAATGTACAAATAATACAAAACTATTTTAGCAAAGCTCCAAAACAATAAAATATTACAGCTCTTCAATTCTGATTCTCTTCTTTCCTTTGATATTGCTCTGGTCATATATTTCAAATGTGTGGTCAAGAATCCAAAAGGAATACAGGAAAAGAGAGAATGAGACACTAAGATTTCTGCACAGGTATAATGTGGCTGTTTGCTGCCACCTGTGGCTTGCTTTCACGCTTGGGTTCCTCTCAGAGTGTATTTTATGTCCACAAGTCCAGTGCTTAGAAGGCAAATATTTCTATAATGAATATTTAAACCTGTTTTTAGAATAGAGCAATATAATAAATTATTCAGAAATATGTTCCATGCTCATTAATTAAATAAAATTTGTTCTGTAACATTCTAAAAATAGTGTTTCTAAAGCTGTTTACCTTCCTAAGACAAGTCTATCTTTTCCCATGACCCTGTTCACACTGTGGGAGGAAAAAAATATTGCAGGGGTTGAGGGTGAGGGTAGGTTACAAGAATTTCAGGAGGTAGGGGATGTGCTTAGTTTGAGAAAATTCTGAGAAAATCCTGACCTCCTGTCTTGGGAACTCCCCTCATCCTGAAAGTTACCCCTAGTCAGGGAGACTCTTCTTTGAGCTGAGAACCAAAGTTTTAGTCAAGTTGATCCTCTTAGGTCTGGATTTACATAGAGGCCCTCAGAGGTGTTAGAGAGCATAAGACAGAGGCCAAGTGCCCAGGCTCTTGGCTCCCTGACCCTACTTCAATCCCAAATCTCAAGTTTAATGCAGTTTTTAGGAAGGGCTCTGCATAGTTTCAAATGGGGAGGAAAAGGGATCTGCTGCTAAAATACATTAGATCATTAGACAGTCTAAATCTAAACTAAACTTCAGCTGTCTCACTTGAATATCATGTGCTTAGACTACTTTGTTTTGGCTTCTTACTAACTTGCTTTTATTAACTGTTTTTACTACTACTTCCCTTTGTCTTCCGTGTTCTTCCACAGTCTCTTCATAAATATATCATCCTCATTAAGGGAACAGAATACTATAAGACACAACCTGATGTCCCCATTAAAGACACTGCCTATATGGCTGGCTCAGTTTATTATGAAATTTCATGATACTCCTTTCCTGATGTCTTAGACATCTGGGGTTACCCTGTTAAGAATGGAAATACCTTTGCCTCGTTGTTTCTTTTCCTTTTGTTCACTTAATTTGTCCAGAGGTAGGTTTGTCATCTCAACTCCGTAAACAGTTCTTGCGAGCACTGCTGTCAAGGAATCCATAATGTTGGCCCACTCATTTATGAGTTCCTCCCACTCCGTGAGGGAGGACAGCACTCCAAGAAAGTCGTCCCAGAGCTCTCGAGAAATGTACACACAGAGGTTTGCTCGGACCCAAGCCACAATGAGTGTCTAAAACCAACCAACCATGTGAGAGAATTGATTATCTTCATTTGGAAAAAGTAGAATTTTCAACAAAATATTTTAAATTACTTATTAACAAAATGAATTTTACAGTAACAAGTGTTTTTGGATTTTATTTTCCTTTAATTTCTCAAAATCCATTTGATCAATTGTAATCAGGATTTGAGTTACTGTGAAATTAGTTATCATTATGAACAAAGCTACCAGTTGCAAATTACAAACAAAACTACTAATTCAAAATTTGTCCTTGCATAATTTGGGAGAAGACAAAGCTCTTTGTGCAAAAACTATTCTGTTTCCTGACACAGCTCTTTCTATCATTCTCTAGTGGCCACTTCAAACCTCTTCTTCTATATGTAAATCTCCAACCCCACCAACTTCTCCCTGATTTTTAGCAGACGAACTCAATGCAGACTTAGGAGAAAACAGAATCCATTCAATAAGATGCCTTCAACCTCTGCCCTCCAGTCTCACGTGTCTGCCCAGCTTCCCCTTCCTCCACCTGCAGGCTCCTGCTTTTTACACACGTCCCCACTCTGCTCTGGACTTCTTCCTCAGCCCCACCTCTCCTTTATCTCTAATATAGCCTACCTACTCAGCTCCTCTCATCAGCATAAACTACTCCAAATTCTTCCTCATCTTACCAAAAAAAAAAAAGTTCCCTTGAGCAAAGATTACAAAGAGTCCCCCTTCTAGCTACAGCCCCATTTCTCCCCTTTCAAAGCCAAATTTCTTGAAAGAATGTTCCACACTCATTCTTTCTGTACTTGCTCATCTCCCAGTCAACCTCTGGTTTTCTCCCTCCTAGGCCTTTAGCCTGGGTTTTGATCTCCATTCTCATAGTTCTGGCTATACATCTGTGTACTGTTGACTTTTGAATTTTCATGTTCAGCCCAGACCTCTTTGCTGGTTTCCTGACCTATCTGCTTACTAGATAGCTCTATTTGCATGTTCAGCAGACATCTGTAATGTAGCATAATAGTAAAAAGAAGAATCCAATTTCTTCCGCTGAGATTCCTCCAATTCTTTGACCTGGTCTCTCCTGCTCCTCCAGCAGCCTTCAGTTTCCATAGTTCTCTGCATTTCCACCATTAGAGCACTCACTGCCCTTTTCCATAGGAATCTATTCATTTCTCTGTGACCCTCCTCTAGTTTTATGGTCTTCAGCACAACACATGGTCACATGGACAACACTACAAGACTACTATGCATATATTATGCATATTTCCTTACCTTGAAATTGCCCAGTTCCTACCTTTGCCCAAATATTCCATATCCTTTAAAATTCAAATCAAAATTATTTCTGCCCAATCCAGACTCCCACTGTCATTGGGAGTTAAGCCGTTCATGGAATAGTGATAAATTTGCTTTTTAATTAAAAGAGAAATTTTTCTTTAATATACACATAGGAAAATTTTGAGAAATAGAAAACAGTCTATAATTAGGCAGGACTATTCTGACCATCTGAAAATCATATTTAAAGTGACCCTTATGCAATGTACCTGCTTCCTATGTTTCAATTCATGTTTACTACACTTATTAAAAGGTGTAAAAATGATAAAGTTGAGCTAAATTAATTAAATATATCAAAAACAAGGTTTTAAACTCATACTTCAAATTTGATTCTAAGAGGGATAAATTTTTTAAAATTTAAGAATAATGAGACTTCTGGCCAAGATGGAGGTGTAGGTAGACAGACTTCTCCCCTTTGCACAACCATAAGAAGGATCACAACTAACCTTAAAATACAAAACAACCAGAACTGCCAGAAAATTGAAGTGTATAGAAGACCAGCAACTAAGGATTTAAAGAAGAATTACTCATCCAGACACGGAAGGGGGCAGAGATGATGAGCTGCAGTGGAGAGGATGTGGTGTGGTGGCGGCGAGGCAGTGGTGTTAGTGGCAGGTAGAATAGGTATTTTCACATTCATGTGTAGTGGACAGAAACCAGGAGGGACACCTGGGGAGTGAGCGGGCTCAGCCCCAGGCCAGACAGTGTAGCCCAGGGTTCCAGTGCTGAGAAAATGAAGCCTCGTAACTTCTGGCTGTAAAAACCAGTGTTAGTTCTGGCTGTGGAAGAAACAGCTGGTCTCTCAAAAATGTCCATTTAAAGGGCCCCGAGGGTCCTAGAACATACACAAACCTACCTGGGAACTACCACCAGGGCAACAGCTACAGGGGTGCCAGTCACATACAGGAAGTGGGTGAGGTGACTCGAAATGGGGCAAGGGCTGTGCAAGCAGCACTGTTCCCTCTCTGACCCTGACACACAAAGTGGTGAGGTGGGTTGACACACCATGGCAAATATCTAAGGCTCTGCCCCTTAAAACATAACATATGTGCCAAGACTGGGAGTCAAAGAAGCTCAACCTAATACACAGAAACACAGGGTGGGCCAGACCAAGGAGACAAAGAAATATTGCTGAAGTGAAAGAACAGAGCAAAACTCCAGAAAAAGAACTGAGCAAAATGGAGATAGCCAACCTATTAGATGCAGAGTTCAAAACACTGGTGATAAGGAGGCTCAGAGAACTCACTGAGTATGGTAAACACAGAAGGGAAGAAATGAAGGCTACGCTAAGTGAAATAAAGAAAAATCCACAGGGAACCAACAGTGAAGGTAAGGAAGCCAGAGTTCAAATCAACAATTTGGCACATAAGGAAGAAATAAACAGTCAACCAGAACAGAATGAAGAAACAAGAATTCAAAAAAGTGGGGATACTCTAAGAAGACTCTGGAACATCTCCAAAAGTGCCAATATCTGAATCATAGGGATGCCAGAAAAAGAGGAAGAGCAAGAAGTGGAAAATTTATTTGAAAAAATAATGAAAGAAAACCTCCGTAATTTGGTAAAGGAAACAGGCATACAAGTTCAGGAAGCAAAGACAGTCCCAAACAGTTGGGCCCAAAGAGGAACACACTTAGACACATCATAATTAAAATGCCAAAGGTTAAAGATAAATAGAGAATCTTAAAAGCAGCAAGAGAAAATAAGAAAGTTACCTACAAAGGAGTTTCCATAAGACTATCAGCTGATTTCTCAAAAGAAACCTTATTTGCAAGTAGGGGCTGGAAAGAAGTATTCAAAGTCATGAAAGCCAAGGACCTACATCCAAGATTATTCTATCGGCGAAGCTATCATTTAGAATGGAAGTACAGATAAAGTGCTTCCCAGACAAGGTAAAGCTAAAGGAGTTCATCATCACCAAGCCCATATTGTATGAAATGTTAAAGGGACTTATTTAAGAAAAAGAAGATGATCAACACTATGAAGAGTTAAATGACAAACTCACAACTATCAAAAACTGAATCTAAAAAACAAAAACAAACTAAGCAAACAACTTAAAATAGGAACAGAATCATAGATATGGAGATCATATGGAGGGTTATTAGCAGGGAAGGGAAGGGGAAGTATACGGCAAAAGGTACAGAGATTAAGAAGCATAATTGGTAGGTACAAAATAGAAAGAGGGATGTTAAGAATGTTAGGAAATGGAAAAGCCAAAGAACCTATATGCATGACCTATGGACATGAACTAAGGGGGTGGATTGCTGGAGGGAAGGGAGCTACCAGGAAGAGCAGAACAAAGGAGGAAAAAATTGGGACTACTGTAATAGAATAATCAATAAAATATACTTAAATAAATAAATAATTTAAGAACAATGAAAAAAGCTAAAATAATTTTTATCATTTATCAATACTTTATTATATATTTTGATTATGACTAAAATGTTAGCTTCTATTTATTCACTTTTACCTTCCTATTTTCAAAATGAGTTTAAGGCCATTACCATAAAGTGCATATATACAATAAATTTCATAAATAGTAGATCAAAAACATAACCTTAAGTAGAGTACAAGAGGAAAGTAGGGACTGGCAATGTTCAAACTCAAACTCTTGTTTGGTTATAGCACTGGCTTCAGGTTTAAAAGCAGATGTTTTAGTGTGGTAAGATGCCCTATATCAGGAATTTAGCATTGGCTTCACTTAATTGACTAATCATAGAACAATGACTTTCTACACCTTATAGAATTCATCTTAGCAATTCCTGCAACTGTGTATACACACGTGTTAATCATCATCATAATTCACAACTAACAACACTTCCACACATACCAAAATGGAGTGGCACCTTTGGGCATGAAGGCAGGGTACCCTTTGAATAAGTTACCATTCCTAACAGGAAGGGGAAAGAGAGCCACAGTCTCTTGATTCTGCCACCTTGGTTCTCTCTGGTGCTTAGCTTGTGACCTGGGCAATTTACTTGGCTTTTTTGGAGTCATATTTCTCATTAAAAAGTATCTCCAAGGTTCCTTTGGCACTGAAATTAATGTTTCATGAAATATACCTTCTCAATAAGGGATGTACAAAAAAACCTTTCATTTATAAATTACTCTTTTTCTTACATACATTTTCCTAACCAACAAATTTCTACATTTATCCCATACTTAGGGGACTACACAATTGCAAGGTAAAGATTCACACTATTTATAGAATGATCGTGGTCCAAATTTCCTGATATATTGTACTTTAATAGCTTTGGGCACAAGGTCACAGTACTGACAAGAGATTAAAACCTCATTTATGGTAATCACCATTATTTGGAAAGTATTTAAAGCTAAGTAAAACTCAACGATCATTTGAAGAAAATTTTCACGCGCAAATTATCTATTGATAGAGAAAAAAAATAAACACTAAAAGAAAATTTTTTTTGAAAGGTAAAATAAAAATAGCAACTTAAAATATCCTGTCCCATTTAATGAACTCCTTATTAAAATTTAAAAAAATTAAGTATCTGGAAAAAATAGCAGTCTCCTACCATATAAGTTCATACCACAAAGTCAGGAAGTCAAGACAGATCAATTTAAGAAGCAGAAGCAAAAACAAAGAGTCTCAGAAGAATCAAGATGGCAGAGGAGTGAGTGGAAGTCACACTGACCTCCTCCCAGGAAAAATCTGGAATTACAACAAAATTCTGGAGAT